AATGATATTAACATGCTGTAAAAGAGAGATTACAGCCATCGATTTTCTCTCTGCAACAGCTCAGCATTGTGTTTTCTTCAGAGGAAATGCTGTATTCAGAAGAGCATGACGACGTTTTGATATAATATGAATAGTAGCACTATATAGTAAAGCTATCTCAATTGTTTATTGTCACTGCAATGTTGATCTTGATCTTATGTGAATAAACATTCTAACAAATCACATTATTTATTGTGTGTTTGTGGCCTCACCAACTGCAGACATGAACACTTATTAAAATGTCTTGTAATTGTACTTTTGACATGTCTTATTTTTGTGTTGTTTATGTTGTGTTCAATTATTTTGCATATATGTATGTAGGTATAAGCACTGGCTGTATCTTAGCTCAGGGGTATATTTAGACTCTAGCTTAGAGATATATCTTCTGAACAGACCACAAAGCACTTTGTGTATGTCACTTTTGATAAGAGCATCTGCTAAATGCCATACATACATTTCAAATTAGAATTTCATTTGATGCTTCGATCAGTCAGTCTAGTTATTTGATTTAACGAATTATGTTGAATTATGTTGGTCAAAATAATGCACAGCCTTGTCATACCATAGTTTCACCAGTGTGCTTTTAATATTGTCACTGTCTCCGAAATGGTAACTTAACAGAAGAAGACAAAAACATTCTTAATTTTAAACATAAGTTAATGGAATGAGATTTTATTACAGGTAATTTTTGGATCATTTCTTTCCAGGCATCATGAAATGTTTACACAGTGTAAAGTGCACAAACATGTACAAAAGAAAACCTTGGACATACATTTTTTTGATATGATAGCAACAACATATTGCAAGTAATAGTGTAATATTTAGCAACATAATCACAATATAATTTCATCCATATCATGTAGCCCTACTTTACGCTGTCAGATAAAAGGGTACTGTCAGGGTAAATGTTAGTCACCCAATGTATGAACAATATAAATAAACCCTCAAAGGTACATTTTTTTGTACATGGTTGTGTTTATTATTGTATTTATTAAGTTAGTTTTAAAGATACACTACATTCACTTTCCCAGCTGAAAGATACACATTTTGTTGCTTTCATGTCTTTACTTTTTTAGCAGTAAAATAAAATAAAAAGCCTGGAGTTGCAACAGTGTGTATGGAGTCAATGCAACTTTAAAAAAAATAATTAAATAACTGACTTGGAATATGATATAATTAGGTCCCGTAACTAAAGGTAGAGAAGGATGTACCCTTGAGAATACCAGCGTTTGCTGAAACTCTTTAAAGTTTCACTTCTTTGTGCTTTTTAAAAAGGTTAAAAGTTCAGCAATCCAAAGTTAAAAGCTAAATGATTTTTGTCTTCCTTTACAGCATTTGGGAACAGTACTTAATGAACCAAAGAAAATGGCATTAAAATAGAAATTTTAACTAACAAAATGAATAAAATATTAAATCAAATGAGAACAAGAAAGGCAGAACTAAAAACTATACGGAGCACGAATATTTTAATAATTAATGTTTAAAAGTTCTCCTTCATCACCCAGAAGCTTCAGCAAATGAATATGAAATTGAAAGGCTGTATCATTGCTGTTACAATCAGTTATATTTTCAGCAAAGCTCATGTAACTGGTTGTTATATGCTTGCTGATCTGATTGACACAGACAAATTGGAGTGAGTGCTGCCTTAGCAAAGCTCAAAATCCAGGAAAATCTAATATGTGCTGCTTGTCAGAGGAACACTTCCTTCAGAAATACAGCATAACAGAGCTGCATATGTGTACACACACTCTTAATGCCATACACACACACACATACACACACGCGCGCACACAGAGTTAGCCACAAGGTCAAAAGGACTCACCTGCAGAATATCCTTTCTCCACTGGGACCTGTCAAATTAGCAGTTGGCTGTTACAGAGGCTTAGGTCTCAGACCCTCGGAGAAAGAGAGAGGGAGCAAGAGAGAAAAAGAGAGGAGCGAGAGAGTCACATAACCACTCGGAGGCCGTGGGGCACTGCTATGGCACAGCGTCTGAGGCTAAAACCAAAACCATATGAGCATTAATACGCACCCAGGGGCTCCACACGCAGATTACTTTACATAACGACTAATTGGCCTAATTTGTTAAGCAAACACTGTATTTTCTTTTGGAGATTAATACAGGACCACCGCACTCTCACAGTGGTCTCTCCACACTGAAAGACAGGGAGCAGCAGCTACACCCACATCGGATTTTGGTGGTCTGCTAAAGTAATTTCCCTTCAAAATGAATCTAATTTCCTCTGCTGGTGCAGCTTCATGAGCCTTGTTGGTGAGAACATGCATAGACAGCACAGGACACATGGTGACGACAGTATGACCTGAAGTCAAACAAGCACCTTTAGTTGGGTGATTGCAATTGAAAATATTTATTGATTTATTTGTTTATTATTTATTTGCTTATTACAATGCAATTACACTCTCCAATGAAACTGGTGGCTTAAGTATGTTTCCTCAGAGAAATACAATACATTAAAATAAATAAGTATACTACCCAACTTATGGATTGATGTATGATAAAAAAATAAGCAGAGGAAATATAATACCACTCTTTATTTTTCTCTTTCAAAAAAAACTACTTGGCAAAATCCTTGGTAAATAAATATTTATATAAATCATATATATAAACTCTGCTCATTATTCTAGAATGATAAATATGAGACCTGCCAGCTAAAACTGTTATTAGCTACATTACTGTGCAAAACCTAGAGGCCAAGTTATTAATTTTTCAGTGTCAGGAAAAAAAACAGAAAACATATATTTGACAGAAAATTACCCAGAAGCCTCAGCAACTAAATATAACAAACTATTTTTTTTTCACAGTTTGCCTTTATTACAGCTTACTGCACAACTTACTTTCAGTATTTCAAAAAAAATCTGCAGGGATTTTTTTTCCACACATCCAAAGTTCAGTCTTAGCAGTTGGTTGCATTTCTGCTCCCACACAATCCAACATATTCAATGATCTGGGTTCTAAAGTGGTCAGTCAATTGTTCTGAGAACATCAGCAGCTTTATGACTGGTTTAAAAAAATTATTTCTTTTATATATTTTTATTTTATTTTACTTTATTGTTAGTTTTTTTTTTTTTGCATTTTGTTTCACTGTAATGGCTTCTTGACAGCTATACATCCTCACATCATCAGTGCAGAGTTGTCTTCTCACAGTGAAAGAATGGACAGAAACACCTGTAGATTTGAGATATGAAGCAAGAGTCGAGCTTGATTTTCTCAAAGATGAAAGCTTTAAGTACTGTTTATCTGATGGTGACAGTTTTGGTGGACTACCAGGTTTTGCACTGTTAAAAAATAACGATGAACCCTAGTACATTTGAAAGCAACACTTCCTTCATCAAAGTTTCCACCTCTTTAGAAAAATGAGACCCTTTATTATCTTTGAAGAGTAGATTCCATAATGGCTGCAAAGTTTCATAAAATGAAATGAAAAGCTGAAGTAATATAAACAAGTAAAATGACCCAGAAACCCAACCAATAGCATTCATTTGTTCTGAATTAGCTTCATTTTACAGCATGAGCATTCAATAAAAGTACAGAAAATGTTTTCGCTTCAAATAGTCTTCATTTAAATATGGAATTTTCCTGTAGACACAGCTTGTAAAATGAATTTTAGCACCTTTTCTAAACACTGAACATTTTTTGACAGCCAAAGAGAAGCTCTTTCATGTGTTCAGTTTCAGCGAGAGCACTCAGAGAGAAATATAGTCCTCCACCCACTGAAAAATATGCATGAGTATTAACGGCATTTGTCTTCTGGAGCCCACTCTCAGACATTCAGCCAGTCTTAGAGCTCATTCCTCATTTCATAATGTGTGTGTTATAGGGCAGATTTACAGTATACACCATTCTAGAAGAACAGGGCCATTCTAGCATGGATAAATTATAGATTTCATTAAGTATGTAGATTTTATAGATTTTTATATAAAAAATATAAGGGCTTTAGTTAAGAGGACTGTATCTTTATAGTCCACCAGGCACATACTGTGTAGTCTGAAGATTACTTTTATAGTAAAAGTAATGGAACATGTGAACACATTAAAGGAAAAGTTGGCAATTACACTATTTTCTCCCTAATCATAGTCGATCAACGAAGAGGTATTACAGACTTCCATTACTTCTTGGCTGATTGACTACATTTGGGGGTGCAAGGAAATTTGAGTACATTTGGTTTTTCAGAGAACCCTTCCTTTAAGAACTGAAGAAGATGACCACAATGACAATGACCACAGTGATGATGATGATGCAGATGATGATAAAGTTAATGACGAATGACAAAAATCTAATTTTTTTGGTGATTTTGAAAACATTGAGACCCCCAAATATACCTATGAACCAATCAGACTTGCAGCCCCCTATTCCCCACTGCACGTCCAAACCAAACCATTCAATGCTGACGCAACTTGCTTCTTAGAAAATGTGCCAGTGGGGGTCAGATAGCTGAGGTCCAAAATAAATTGCCTCCTTTTTTTTCCTTGAGGCCAGACCTGCTTGGCCAGCCTCAGATTTATTGTCCCTTGCTTTTCTGGAGGAAGATGGTAAGCATGTGGTCAGTAGCGAGGAGCCAGTGACCCAGCCTCCCTCTCACGTTACGCCCTATATATAACATCCACCCCTCCTCTCCTCCACCCCCTCTTTCTCTCTCTCTCTTCCTCTCTCCTTTTCCACTTCTCTGGAAGTACTCATTCCCCACACTCAGGCCCAGGATAGCTCACTCACTCACTCACTCACTCACCCTCTCTCTCTCTCTCTTTCTCTCTCTCTGCTGCCTGTCACTTGAGCGGCCTCCAGCAGGCTGTGTGTGTTTACCCTCGCTTGGCCTGGCAACAGGGCTGCATGCTCAGGATTACGCGAGGCCTTGCCTTTCATCACCGCTCGCTCCCTCTTCCTTCTGCCGAGTCCGGGACTGCAAGAGCCGCTGGTGCGAGGTGAGAGGGGACGTGAAGAAGTGTGGTGATTTTAAGGGGCTTTTTTTGCTCTCTTTGCTCTTTTATTCTGCACTCTTTGGTGTCTTTTTAACACCATTTAGAGGGTTTTTTCACTTTTTTACACTTCCACTACCATTTTTCTCCATTTTCATCTTCTTTTTGTCTGGGAGTCATTGGTGTGGAGTAATTCGGTGTGGATTTGCTGGAACTGAACTGAAATGGATCACTCTCTTTTCGGCTGTCTGCGGAACCCTCACGCCCCGGCCCAAACTCTCCACCCGGCCTTCGCCCAGCCCTCCGCCCTAGCCCTGCACGGCCGCTCTGACCATGTCTCCTACCCAGACCTCCCCGGACCCTCTCCGCCCTGCAGTTACCCGGGAGAGGAGGGGGGCTTTGGTGGCCCTCACGGACCCCGCGGCCATCCCGCTCAGCAGCTTCCCCAGCATCATCCACATCATCAGCCCTCAGGCTGGCACATTCAGCAGATGCCCTCGCCCAGTGGCGGCCGCCACAGTGTCTGCCCTCCCCACCACCCTGACAGCACAGCCCCAGAGCTGTGTGGGTCTGCAGGTACAGGCAGTCAGGGTCTGTGCACAGCAAACCCAGCGCTTGGCAATAGTGACCCCGCTGGGGCAGCATGTGTGTCTGGGGACTTTGGGCGGCAAACTATGTCAACCGTAGAAGCTGACAGAAGGAATAGTAAAGGGAAGAGTGACAGTTCAGGTAAGCAATGCACATACTTCAGTGTAGTAATCATTACTTTTACCTTCATTAAACCATATCATGGTGCCAAGATTATTTCAAGAAGAACACTTCTCTATAAAAAGGCTTGCAAAATATTAACTCATCAACTTATACACATCCTACAGGTAATTTGGCACAGAAAGTAAAATTCAAAATTTAATTCATGCCTGTTTACTTTCCCTTTTTATATATTGACAAATCCTTCAAAACTCAAATAGCTCACAGCCTCAGAATTCAATATCCAAGACATATTACTTATCATAAAATTTACATTTGTCACACTGAAACCAAAAAGTACTGTAGCTTCTGCACTATTCTGCATTGCATTCATTTCTGTCTTATATCATTCTTAACAAAGTGAAATGTTTATTTCAGTTTTGCATCATGGTTTAAAGCTTCATTCACTTTTATTTACTTCACAGTTGAATAACAGAAAAAGTCCATCTTATTCACTGATGATTACTATTGTTTTATGCGTGTTTCTTTGCTTGCTTACTTTTATTACAATTCCTGTGTTAGAACGTCTTCTTCAAATCACCCGTCTAACAATAACCAGAAATAGTCGATATGCCATGTGCAGATCAGAACAAGTTCTATTTGGGAGTCTTCTATTTTAATTCACTAACCCACTAATACACCATGGTGATCAGGAACATGAGCCATTTTGCTGTATTTAGTGAGTGTAATTATTTATATTTATTATTTAATAGTTTTATTTGCATATAAAAAAATAGCACAGATCATACAGCTTAGTTTATAATAAAATTAAAAAGCTTGGTTCATAATAATCTATTTCAAGTCAATGTGACTGAACTATAACTTATTTCTATTATTTTGTTTGACTGCCTTTTTTTGGTCAACACAATAAAAGTTATTAAACAGCACTCAATGTAGCCACGACTTCTCGCTGTAACATGCAGCTTTTTCATATCCTTACACTGTGGCACAATGAAAGACTGTATAGCAAAGAGAGCTGTAAAGTGCTTAGCATCTTAATATCTGGGAGGCCAAGCTTTGCAAATTATTTAAACTATGGTGTGATTCTCAAACTGGACATAAAAAGAGGTTCTTCTGTTTTTAATAAGGTCTGCCTCTTACCTATTGTAACTTGAGTGCAAATTGGGGTGATTCCTTTAAGTGAAACAAAAGATCCCGCCTGTGTTGGCTAGCACAGTGGAGTTTTAATGGCTGGGTCTGGTGCTGCAGAGCTGTGCCGGGCTGCTCTCTCATCAGTCTCAGAGGTATAACTCACTGTGGCATTTCCCTTCAGGGCTTTAATGGCCTACAGGTGAAACTGCTTTTTAAATGCTTGCTCTGGTCACACCTGTGTTTTTGATACCCCCCAACATGTGCACTGCATTTAGTTGCTGAAGAGAGCTGTGAAGTAGCTGAGGGCTTCAAAATGTATGAAAGATTAAAAATAAAATTTTGAATCATCTTTAATAGCTAATATGTGCAGTAATAGCATGAATTTTATGTAGGTTACACATACTTTACACAGCGGATAATCTTTTGGAGTTGAAGCCAAATGATGATCTTTTTATTTGACATTATGTTCAGTAACTTGCTTCTGGTGGCTGTGTTGGAACACTATTCATAGCATTCATTTGGTTATACTAGGAATCACTCTAAAGCCCTTGTTTGAGACTGGAGTATTGAAAAACTATACCCACATCATCTCAAACGAGGGCTCTACTAGTGGAATCAAACGGACGCTATGATAGTGCTCTAGTGCAATCATCAGAGGTAAAGACCACGGCTACTAATGATCTGATAGGTAGCATTAAATTAAAATATCAGTCTGCTTTAGTCCATATTAGATTGTTGCCATGCAAAAAAAAAAAAATCTCCAATTTTTTTTTATTTTCATTTTCTATATAATTTGATCATAAAGGCTGCCCTTTATCATTGCTTCATGATGATTGGACCAATAGAGATGGTCCATAATTGCTTGGAATAAGCTCTCTTTTCATTGAATTATATTAAAAGTAAATACCGTTTTTGCCCTCTCCTATAAAGTTACCGCTTAAAGTTATTTTTTTTTCTGGACATTGATTATACACATATAACGTGTTTAATCCCCAAATGCTGCATATCCATTTGTAACAAGAAAAAAATAATGCTGGCAAAGAATGCGCTTTGTTAAAAAAAAATGCGAAAAACAGAAATTAATCATGACACAGAATTGATATCGGTCTGTCTAAAGCCCACTCAGAATATTGTATATCATGAGAAAAAGAGAAAAATAAAAACATACAAAAGTGACATTAAATGCATTTTTGAATGAGGACCTTCATATTTACATACCTATTCTTTTAAAGCATCAGAAGGATTATCTTCCATCTATATTTTTCTGTTAACTAAAGTTATGCTGCTGCACGTACAAATCTTCACCTTCCCCAAATGTGTCAAATGCATCACTTGGTGCACAATAGCAGTTTAGCAAACTGATGGATCACTAGAATACTGCAAAGGATTTCCAAAAGGTTCCAGTTGGCACTACTTTTATCCCAAATCCAATTTCCTCCTTAACTCTGTTGGCAGTTATCAAAGGCAACATGGTTTTCATTCAGCAGTAGGGCATATGTCTCATGAAGCAATGCGGCAATGTTTCAGTGATACGCCAAAAAGATTACAGTCAAATTGGAAGAATGATGTTGAATGTAAAATATGAAATTCATCTTGTGTACTGCAACAGCACTGTGCTTCAGAGCAGTTATGTATTTCTAGGCAGGCTTCAAACGAGCTCAAATGTGAAAATTTGCAATTATACCCCCATATAACTCAATATCTGGAACATGTCTGTACTGTTTGCTCACTTTTAAAAAAAATATAGCGGAGTCTGCTAGTCTGTAGCCTCATAATCAGCCAACAAAAAGGCCACTGGCTGGCATTTCCCAATTTTTCAGCACATCTATTATTTAAAGATTTGGAGGCTGGCAGCTGGAAATAAAAGCCAAGTCTGAAAGAACAGGCCATAAATTATGATTCAACATTTTGTCGCCTTGAGCTGTTATATTCAGAATGTCCCTATGAAGTTTGACCCAAACTAAGTCTTTAAAGTGTTTTCATGAAAGGGATATGAGCACCATTACAGAACTGAAATCTCTGTCTCTACTTTCATGGGCAGAAATCACTTTGGAAACCATATTTCTGTTGTGACCACATCAAAGCAATCTGAAGAAAATTCCAACCATCTTAATTTACTGGAGCTAAATGGGCAAGCTTTGTTTAAAGAGACGTTTACAGCTATTTGGTACCACTATTCTATTCTTAGGTTTTCTAGACAAAAGAGGATAGAATGAAAATGACTTTACTGCTTAAATGAAGCCATTTTTAGACCTTAATGTTTGTGCACATTTGACATACAGTACTGTGTAAAGGTCAGAGACCACCCTTCATTTATACAATTTCCACACCTCCAAAGTTCAGTCTTAGAGGTTGGTTATACTGCCTGTTTCTGGTGATCCAAGAAATCCCAAACAAATTCAGTGATGTTGAGGGCTGGCGTTCTCACAGTGGAAGGATGCACAGAAACACCTGTGGATTTTTTTTCAGGTCTGAAACAAGAGTGAAACTTTCCTACTGTCTCTCAGAGACAAAGGCTTGTCTGCCATTTGTCTGGTAGCAGTTTTGAGTTCTGGTGGTCCACCAGGTCTTGTTTGTATGGCTATTTTTACTGGAAATTCAATAACTGAAAGGTGGCCTCTGACTTTTGCACAGTTTTGTAAACAATCAAAAATTGATCAGTGCATTAAAATTTATTTATACCCTTACATATGCATACATGATTTTAGCAAAATTGAAGTTCAGATGAACAGAAGCAATATTTTCAATTACTCAAAAATACCTCAAATCAAACCAATTTCCACTGAACTTTTTGCAATGTAGTACAGCCCAGTACAGTGTAATGTTACACTCACATTAAGCATTTTCCCATAGTATTATTTACTAGCACATATTATTATCAGATACATAAAGTAATAATACTACAAAATTACAAAAAAAGTGATAATTTGTAATTAAATGTAATATAATGAGCTGAAGTGTCTATCTTTTATTAATGAGCAGGCAGTGGACAGTGGAAAACCTCCAAATCTGTATTAGTAATCGTTTATGACAGAATAGTGTGCTTTCTTCATTCACAAATAGCCTGCAATACTGTTACCATTTGTAAATGACTCTGAAATATTTCTAAGAATAATAGCTTACATTCAGTAAAGAGGAGCGTGCAGCTTGTGGAACAGAGTGAGAGCAGGAGAGCTGTGTTGATTTAGGCCAGATTTGAGAGCGCTTCCACATGCTCTGCTCCCGGCCCCTCTCAGCCTGCTGCACACACACGTATGACCAATATCGGCATAATAAAAGGTGACTGGCACCCCTAATTGTTTAGCTCTTGTTTCATTTTCATTTGCTGGGGCTCCTGTAGTGAATCATACAATCCATTTTTTTTTTTTTTGCTTTTGCGCACATTTTTTATCCATATTCTATTTTTTCCTACAGCTGGAAAATGTGCTGTTTTTCATTTCAGATTCCCAAGACGGGAGCTATAAGTCAGACGTGAACAGTAAGCCCAGGAAGGAGCGCACAGCGTTCACCAAGGAGCAGATCCGGGAACTGGAGTCCGAGTTTGCCCACCACAACTATCTGACACGACTGAGACGTTATGAAATCGCTGTCAACCTTGACCTCACCGAGAGACAAGTATGCTACACACTGGGCCTGTTTTCTGCTGGAGGTTACTAAGACACATAACAATGTTGCTTTTTTCATATGTTAAAAAGTTGTTTGCAATGGCAGTAAAAATGTAAAAAATATATTGAAATCCTAGTTAAAATATCTTTGAAAATAAAACTGAATTTTGATTGGCTACATTCTGTTTAGGCCAAACCGAGCAATATATCAAAAACTAGTCACATTAAAAGCCCTGTGAGTCAAAAAAGTCTTTCTTTTGACATTTGGTCAATGGGTAGAAATGCTAATGCTCTGAAGAGGATCAATTCCAACCCAGTGGAGCTCTCTGATATTGAGTATCAGCATCATTTTTGTGGCTCACGTCAAAGCCTCACTGTTTCTGTTCCTCTTGGTGTTTGTGTAGTTCCAGCAGAGCCAAACATGTCAGCCCTTTCTCCTTTTTCTCTCTCTCACTTGCTCATTTGACTAATACAAACCTTTTCACATCTTACCCACATATGGCATATTTCGCACTCAATAATTCTGATGCCTTCAAATTAGACCAAAATGTCAAATGCTTTCAAAGTGCCATCAACTGAGCCAAGCTCATTGGTCTTCTTCTGAGCTTTTCAAACACTTTCAGCTCCACATTTCCACTAAAACGCTTCCTTTATATCCTAGAATAAATAACAAAACTGCTTATTGGAACACATTTAGCCAAACCAGCCTATGGATCTCACACACCCCTGAGTGAGCCTGTTGGACCCTGTAGGAAAAAACACAGTTAAGTGCTTTGGCCTAAAGAGAAGCCCAAGAAGCCAGGCAACTCACCTAGGATTCAAGTCTTCCTGTTCAGCCCCCTTTTCCCTCTATACTCCTCCACATGCTCGCTTCCAAAGATTCCCTTCTCAGGTCCAATAAATCTGCGTGTGTGGGTTGATGCTGGACCTCGGTAGTGGTAATGTCCAGATTGCACTGGTTATTGTGTTCATTTGTCCAGTTTTACATTAAATGTGACGAATGATGGTCAGTTCCTGTGCAAGTACTTTCACAGAATAGTAACGCGCTGTTGTTTTGCTGTTGTTTTCGGTGAACAATGTTTGTTTGGCTATTCAAGTGTTTATGATTTAACCCTTTAAATGCTAAGGCCTAAATGCGGGACCACGCTTCCACTCCTCACTCTCATAACTTTTCTACTACTACTGCTGCTACTGCAATTACTACTACTACTACTACTACTACTGCTAATAATAATAATAACAATAATTAGAATAATTTATAACACCTTTCTAGGTGCCTAAGAATTTAAAGAGGAAAAACAAAGAACATTAAAATAATGGTAACACTTTTTATGAATGCCCTGTATGTAACACACATTTGTAACACATTATAATGCATTCATAAGGTATTATAAACGTGGCTAGAAGTGTTTATAGAAATTACAATTTCTAGCCATTTATTAAGCATTTTGAATTGTTAACATAATGTATTGTAAATGGTTTTCATGACATTATTTTGTCAGTGCAAAATAAACTCAGTGCCAGGCTATATAGTGCATTATGGCCTGCCTTCTTTTAAATAAACTTCAGTTTATTATTTCTATTTTTTTAATGTTGCGTGAAAAAAAACATTCTATCTATGAATTTGCGTCTTTTTTACTTAGAACTTACAAATACAACATAATTTGACTATAATGCCATCTGTCTGTCAATAATAATCTGCACCAATAAAGACAAGTATACAAATGCTGTCACTTTACTTGAAGCTTGCAAAGACATATTAGAACACAATAAAAATGACCATATGCTGATATTCTATTTCAGATCATCAGGAATCATGTTTGTGCTCATGATTAAGTAGGTCATAATGCGCTATGCAAGCTGGGACTGAGTTTCTTTGTCTCTGACAAAATAATGAGTTATGAACACTACTTGTAATGCATGTTAACAATTTATGATGCATTATAAACATGGCTACAATGCAAACTGCATTCTATAAAAATTTGTAGCCACATTTCTAATGCCTTATAAATGCATTATGATATATTGAGAATGTTCCTAAATTCTTATTGATATAGTATCCATATAATACTATGTACTATGCTATAATAATATTTTATAAAACAATTATATAACTTATAAATTAGTTTCATAGTACTTACCAAATAATTCATACTATTTACAGAATATTTTGTTTTTATTGTCTTATGCCTTAGAATTGCCTAAATGCATTTGATTACACTGCAGCCATATGTGTAACATAACAACTTGAACTGAATTCAGTTGGATTTAATTATAAATCTGAAAATGAATAACTGGATAAGCCTGCAGTGTGAGGGGTTAATACAACCTTTATCCTCATCCTGTCATTTATTCACCCTAAAATACCTGCAGTCTTCAGGCTAAAATAACCAACTCTCCCTAAAATAGACCCCTATCTGCCCTGGGCAGAGACACACATTGGTGGGGGTGGTCACCAGCTTGGAGTCTAGACCCGTTCGGACCGTTTTAGGCAGCAGCTTAATCATCACCGAGAGACACAAATACAGAGTGAGCTGTCGAGTCAGGGAAAGGAGGCAGGGCCTGGGGCCAGCGGGCTGCCAGGAGCCATGCATCAGCACATTATTGGCCAGGTGGAAATAGCCTAGCCACCTGATGCTAGCCCCCTGCAGCGCCAGTCAGGATATTGGGCCACTGCTTGTGCAGTGCTCGAGGAGAAAAACACCCAGAAGTGTTAAGAGGGTCACGGAGACTCCTCTGAAAGTGTGGCCTGAAGCTTAAGCTTAAGCAACGAGCTGCTGAGGCTCTGCTGCCAGCGGAGCGTGTGAGATGAGGTGTTGTGCGTGCTTTTACGTGAGGGCCAAGTAAAGTGAACAAGTGCGAGGACGACTGAGTGCTGCGCTAGCAGAGCTCTATTACAGAAAGCTCATAAATCTGCCCTGCACACAGAAACCTACATACACAAGCATTGACATTACTCAGAGTCCTCTCATATGGAGGCAGTGGTGGTTTAGGAGTGGTTGGGGGGCATACGTGCCAAAACAACTCCTTCTCGAAAGTGTCTTCACACACACACCTACTCTCACATGCAGCCATAGAGCGGCATTGGGTTTCCCTGATGCAGTTCTAGCAAGCATATGTTGCTAGGAGACTCAATTAATCCAGTAAACATTGTGTACAGTTGGTTACTCTATATCATTAACAACTTTACCAACTATTTAGACACCCGCATGCCATGTCATAGCCGTATTACTGTTAAATACTGTACAGTATACAGCTCAACTGAAACTTGAGTTGACTGATTGGAATGAATTTCCTTTTTTGCAGGTGAAAGTGTGGTTCCAGAACAGAAGGATGAAGTGGAAACGAGTGAAAGGGGGGCAGCAGGGAGCCGCAGCACGAGAGAAAGAACTGGTGAATGTGAAGAAAGGAACTCTCTTGCCATCAGAGTTTGCAGGCATGGTGGGACTGCACCACTCCGTCGGCTCCCCAGGCAATGAGGATGACAGTCACGACAGTGACCAGAGCTCTGAGCACGCTCACTTATGACCTTCTGGAAACTTCAAAAGCAAAAACTGAACCCTAGTTTTCCTCAGGAATCACCGTCCTTAGTACGCCAGGGCCCTTAAAAACTAGTCCAGGCCCAACGGTTAAGATTTGTTGTGTTAAACAGATGGTGAGAGAGTCCACTAAACAGAGCTCGATCTCTGCAACATCTCAGCATACAGATTTAACTAAAATAGAGTGGCAAGACTGGGAAACTGGATGAGAACAAAAGACTGTGACATGTTTTCACTTGTGAGCCATAGCTCTGAATTTGGATTTTTTTTGAGGAGATTTTGTAAATAAAATGAAAGAATGTTGTGAACATTCCATAAAAGTGCCTTGAGAAGAAATTTTGCACTGTTTTAATTATTGCCCTAATTAATTGCTACTGTATGTACTCAGAATTACATTGTTGCCGTTGAACATTAACAACATTGAGGATGCAATATGTTACCTGTTGACAACCAAAGAAAGGTCTGTCTGAATCGCAGTGTTGATAAATCCCCCTGCTCATTAAATATAATTATGCAGGTTGTGCTCTTTACACTGAGCTAATTGTGCAGTTTGGTTTGGCTATAAGTGCAATATTATAATTTGACTAAATATCCCAGCTTATCAGAAAGAAACATTTCCACAATAAGCTGAAATTTCTACATTGCATTGCTTAAGGCCTGCCTGCTAACATAAGGGCTGTTTGGGAGAAGAATTGTGGCAAATATGCATAATATGAGAACAGTGGGTTTTATACCAACATTTCTGATCTGTCCCTTTAGATGTGTAGTTCATTTCTTCTTTTCAATCTTATATGTTTACCTTTCGAATAAACAGGTATTGCAGCTCTAACTGTTTCATGTCTCGTACCAGTGACACTAACACATTTACCATCGAAAGAAAAAAAAGTTCATTTTCTTCCTTGTATAGTTCTCTTTCTTGGAAATATTATTAACTCCAAAGAGGATAATATGATGGAAATGTGATGGAAAGCCATGTTGAAAAACTAATATTATGGTTTGGCATTTCTAGGACTACTGTGTGAGTGTGCATCCTAATTTTTGGAGTGGCATTTTGGCAAGCGGCCTGACTTTTCAAAAACGTCCTCAGTCGTATGTGAGCAGCTGGCGATTCGATACCTCCAGAAGTTCTGGACTTATTTGATTTGTGGCTGCGCCGTTCCCCCCGACACACAGGCGAAACCCAGGCTAAGTGGATTTGTTTTCAGTTGTGGTCAAAGCCAGCTATGCATTTTCCTCTGCGCAAGACGTTTTTGATTAGCCGTCCGATTTAGATGTTTGTATATGATATAGTGTGATCAAAGCAAGACACAAAGCCATTCCCTGGAGGAAACAATTCGTGGCTGTAAGAAGTGAATGGGGAAATATATTTATGACCTCTCAAACCTTGCCAAGCACCCAGCTGCAGTGATCATAGCTATGTCTAAACAAAGACATGATGAATATGGGCTGGCAGATGCCGTTCTACACGGACACATCAATAAAAACCTGTGTGAATAAACACAAATCAGGGCAAACATGACTTGGGTATGAGGAATCTACCACAGATCACAAACTACAGCACTAATGCATATAAAAATAAGCGGTGAACAATTTTATGATGTTGTCCGCTGGGAATTTCTTGTTTTACGGAATGTTTCCTAATTGGAAGCAATTAACAGGGATTCCTTTTATAACTTTTACAAAGCAATAAACCTTCTAGTTTTGTTCTCAAGTAGAATATCAATAATGTATAGTGAGACTATGAAAAGTAGAGCAAAAGCACGTTCTCCTTGAACTTGATCGCATTACTGACAAATATTACCCAAGGTGATTATCTTAAAGCAATAAGTTTCAGGGCTTAGTTTTATTTGCGCTATGGTGCTAGGTAATCCCATTTCTTTTCCTATTTCATCTGAGTGATCGTCCAATTTTATACAGTCCCCTCATGCATTTGCAAGCTCTGACTTATCCAAGTTCAGTCGGCCCGTGCCATGCGAGAGGAAGATGAAGCTGCTGTTGTTTTGGAATGCCTCTGGCCCATGTTACTTTTGATCTTGGACGAACCTTCTACCTTGACCCTGGTGGGAACAGCTTTCCTTTAACAGGAAGGGAAATGTTGTCATTTCTCTGTGCCATGCCAAGAACAACAGAGCCAACTGAAGACTTTTCCACATTGAATTTGGGTGTCTGCTTGGCCTCCCGAAGAAATGATTTAAGATAATTTTCAGCGTAGCTGTAGGTGTTGATGGATGGTGTTCGCTGAACTGAGGGACCCAGTGCCACAGCGACTGTTTTGATTTTGGCTGTGGTAGCCCACTGTGCCCCAACACTTTTGAATCCAATGGCTCAGCGCAAGAACAGATCTTTCTTATGTCTTTCATCAACATGGTGCAGATAATGAAACACTGGCGTTTCCAAAATAGACTCAACCCCTTTTGCTCCAGTGAAAGACATGTCTTGAGAATAAAAACGGCCTCAGATATGTCTGCGTAGAGTTTCTCACAGTTTCTACAGACAGTCTGGACCAAGGCCAAGGCATTGTGCATCTGGGAGAAATTACAAAAATGGCTGTCTGTGAGAAATCAACAACTGCTGCATGTTTGTTCAAATAATTGAGCATAACCTGGATATCAGATCACATCACAGGTTCTCAAGCTCAATCACATTCCAGGGCCTTTTTTGAGTAAACGCTACATGTCATGCCTTCAGACAAAACAAATCTTTTGCTGTTTAAGAACCAGTGGCTCTGATACAATAATAAAATGGTTTACCAAGCAACGTTTTTTCAATGTCATAGAATTCTGTTAGATTGCCCTACAAGTGCCTGAGTAAGAGTTTGAATTCATTACGCTCTGGCAGGGATTATTATAGCAACCCAAACAAATCCTACATCCAGCATCCAGTGCGGTTTAATACTGCGGTATCCAAGATTCAGGAATCGTCTAGAGCTCAGGAAATTGTTCCGAATCTTAAGATTATGGCCGGATGATATCGTATGACGAAATGCAGGAAACCACAACCCCTCCAATAAACTGGCAGGGGACCATGAGTGACAGCTGTTTTGTCCATTTAGAGGCTTATTTATTGGTACAACAGCGACTTTTACTACAGTAGATCTGGGCCAAGGATCGAAAGAAAAAGAGCAAAATGTGACTTCACACCTGGAGCACTAAAAAACTAAGTCACGCATATGACCTCTGGAACAAAGGAGAGATGAACGCATTGAAATTAAAATGAAAGTTATAAAATAATTAAGGGATAAAGTACAAGGTTATAAGATTTATCACACTCATACAGCCATGTCAGCAAAACTGTCCAAGCACAGTAACAGTAACCCTATTAAGCAAAGCAAAGTTATTACTTGTGTTGAACATATGTTTATTATTTGAGATAAGGTTTTAATAAGAGCACATAAAAACAGTTATTTGAAGGGCAATTACAAATAAGACAAACTCTCAATGTGCGCCAGACCTTAAGTGTCTGCTTGCATTTTATTTGTGTTTATTGTGTGCGTGTGTGTGTGTGTGTGTGTGTGTGTGTGTGGGTGTGTGTGTGTGTGTGTGTGTTTGGATTTAGAGATATTACAAATCACTCAGCAAAATTAAGACAAATGAGTTAAATACAGCTTTCTCTAAAAATATCAATCACAGTATAGGCTGGGTCTAAACAGATGGAAGCAATTATAAAGGGTTGAAATTAAAGACATAATCTCTGTTTTTGAAAAAAAAAATGCTCATTTATTTTTTTAACATTACTGTGAGCCAGAAATGCAGCGCACCTACTCTATTCAGCTTTTTATCTTAAATCTCAGGGAAGGTATTCGGGACACAGTTGACCACAATAAGGCCTGTGTACAGACCTGTGTAGGGGGTGATGCACTACAGAGTAACACGTTGCAGTAATGTGATTATCTTGTAACACAGTAGTGTAACGCATTACAGTATAACTTTTTATAATCACATTACAGTTACTGACTTATGCTAAGAATTATGCTGCTTGTATTACTCATATGTCTCTAACAAAACAATTCATTTTGCACAATGTGTTTGAAACATAAATTTCCTCTATATAAATTATCAGTGCCTGCCCTTGTATGTAATATGCAGGCATGTGTTACCTGCGTCAGCTGCGTGACATTATTGTGAATGTGGTGAACAATCTGTCAAAGTGTACAATCATGCTAACATGAAACTATAAAGATCCCTGAGCTGAAGGAGACAGATTCCCAGACTGGATTTTCATTCAAAAAGCGCTGTAAGCACTTTACTTTTTTTTTTTTAAGGTGTTACTTTGAGGCAGCTGTTTTTTGGACCATTTATAGAGGCCAGTTTCTAGGTTTTCAAACATCATTAGCCAAATTCATAATTTTATTAAAGCAAATCTGGCTGTGTTTTGTTTTGAGGGAGGAAAAAATGACATTTTTAATGTATGTTTACTTATCTTTCTTATTTATTTCTTTTAAAATATAGAAATGACTTATAAATGTTTCCCTGTACTTTACAGTTGATACAGTTTAGTGTGGGTCTTACAAAGTAACACAGGAAAATAATGAGTAGTGAAAATACTTCCAGAAAGCAATAAGTAAAGTAATCACATTCCAGTTAACGTAAGTGACTAGTAATATGGACTGGGCCAACACTGGCACAGACAGACCCCAGAGAGGGCTTGAGGCCCTGTCATTTTGGTCAGCATGTATAATAACAGTATATTACATTGTCCGAAATCAGCTTTGGCTCAGCTCTGCCGTTCCTCAGTAATACTGTAGTAAGTGGGTTGATCTGGGGTCCAAGAACTTCATTACTCTTGGGTGCCTCCTCTGATGCAGCACTGGCCACATTCAGAGATTTTGCTTTCAATCAACTCTGACCTGCCACAGATGCACACATCACCACAGTGCTGAAAATCCCGCTGATAAAACACAGACAATGGCTTATATTTATCAAACTTCTAACAGTAAGAATGCAGATGCGGGGTCAGAGCACACCTTTTACACACTATTGTTAAAAGGTTTGGAATCCCTTGTCATATTATTCATTGTTGTTACTTTATTTATAATAACATTCATAATGTCAATTTAATTATAATAAAATACACTATAATAGGTATTTTATTTTTTTTATTTAATATGTTGAATAGTTTAGAACATATTAAATGATACAAAATAAAAAAAAATGGAATTCTCTGCTTGCAATCACTTTTGGCAGGTTTTCTGATCATTACTGTTCCTTCATTAGTATTTCTTCTGAATACTAATTTTCTTCCACCTTCCGACTTCTTATAA